TGCACAGGGAAAGCTGATGACACTAAACAATTATTTCCAAGGTTTTATAAAAACTATCTCTAAACCTTACTTCCTTCACTTCTACAGCTGCTGTGGGAACAAAAAGCTTCACTCTAGACTGTGTACTTGAAGAGAAACTGAGAATAATGATCAGTTTTTTCCTACTCTCAGGAGCCATGCTATAAAAAAACTTGAAATAAGACTATGAGAAAAATATTGTGTCCATTATCCAGATGGAGTTATCCTTGTAATGCTTTCATTCTTTTATAACTACTTACTGAAATATTAATATACAAAGCCTAACATACATTCTCAAGAAAATTTTATAAAGAAATAAATTAAAACACACAAATAAAGGGGAATTGGACATTACATATAAAACAAGCATAAGATGACTTCCTAGAAGGGGGAAAGAAGGAAGCAGACTGGCCGAATATCACAAGACTCAGGAATGACGTGTCAGTGGTTTCCCTAAATTTTCTTTGTGCCTCACATATGCCAGACTGGGTGCTGGAAAAGCTAGCAATCCAGAAACATTAACAGAAGCAGACCAAAAGAAAAAAAAAAAACCTAAATCTGAACAACAAAGAAACAAATGAAGGATTCTCAGGGACCTCTCAGAATATAACAGGACCTCTCTGTTAGTTTAGAGATCAGTGATATCAGGAATTCAGAAGAGGTCATAACTCCTGTTGTTTATAGTAGTCAGAGATTCATCATTATCATCATCATCACCGTTGTCAACTATCTTTGCAACTTCCTGCAAATGTACAATTACTTTAAAATTACAAGTTAAAAAAAATGAATAGAGACCTTCAAAGGTGTCCCCTGTGGTTTTGAATTAAACAACAAGAAAATATGACCAAATTAAAAAAATGATAGAATTCCTGGAATTTTATTGCTGGAGATACCTTCTAAACACATTGCAGAAGAAATAAAATAGATGAGGTCAGCAACATTCACTTAATGAACAACTATTAAAGTCTTCTACACATGAGAATGAAGGTAGGCATTAAGGAGTCAGAAACAGAAGTCACAGTCTGGGCCTCAGGCTTAGAGGGGGAGACAGACAAGATCAAACACAATTGTCTGTTGCAATGTCGTAGTAGTGGAAAGGTCAAGAAGAAAACCGAAGTGCACTTAA